ATGACATGGGGGTGAGTAAATTATCAGCAAAAGTGAACTACTCCTTTACGCAGCAAATCAGCAAATAATGATTTTTTTTTCATGTGGATAATGTGACTATAAATGGTATTTTAAAAAACAGTTATTTTAAATTGTAATGCTGTTTTAATGTATTTTTAACAAATAAAAACAGCCTTGGTGAGCATATACTTCTTTCAAAAACATTACCAACCCTTACAGACCTCAAACTTTTGAACGGAAGTGTAGATTTGACTGCAAAGACTATGGGAAAAAAAGTGTCCTTCTTTCTTCACTTGATTACTCAAATTTACATCACTCAACAGTTTGAGCTTGTTTAGACTGAGAAGAACTGTGAACTTTTTTATCTTGCTTTTAAGACATGTTGCAATGTGAGTCCTCAATAGTGTGTAAACAACCAGGAAAGCTTCATTATTTTTGCTCCATGTGATCAGGGTATTGGCTAAGCCTGTATTGTCATGAAAATGCTTTATTAAACAGAATGTATGAAAATATTGTCATCATTTAATCACCCCCATGCATTTCCAGCTGTCTAAGCATCTGGTTTTAATACAATGAATGTGGATGTTAACAGCTATAGGCCTGAAGCCCTACGAAAGCATTTATGACTGAAATTTAAGCTAATGTAAGTCATCATTTAATTATAATCATTCCCTTGTCATACTGTAGCTCTGACGGGGTATGGTTTAGGTCTGGGGTAGGGTTAAGATCCGATAACGTCATCAAACCGACGTTTAAGGGTACCCTAAAACGGCGGATGTTAACGTATATGACGTCTAGGGATGAGACTGCGCTAAACTTTTCCAGAAAGTTCACTTTGGCGAGTGGTTTTGAACTCCTGAAACCAACTCCAAATGAACATTTTGTCATGGTTTTGTTCAAAATCACATCACAAGAGTTTGTTCTTCGATTTAGCTTAAAGTATATTGGGGCATTTATAGTATAAAAAGTTTAAAATATTACTACTTTTCTCACACACATCAACTTTTGTTTAAAAAGACATTGATCCATCTACTTGGCTCGTATGCGATTGCTATGCGTGTTAACTTTGTGTTCATCTTTAAGAAAGAAAGTCATAAGCCTATATATCGACACGGAGAGTAAACAATGTGAGAATTTTCACTTTTGGGTGTGCTGTCCCTTTAAGCATAATTCAAAACATGAGTGACAGTGCCCTTTTTAACATGAGCGTAAACACTCGTGCATTGTTTTCATCTTTCCTCATCTCCTTTGCGTAAATGGCTGGCTTTTGTGTACATTCCCTGCTAATAAAAGTCTGTTTTCAAGAGGGTGAGTGAGGGTGAGAGAGAGAGAGACTGTGCTTGAAAGAGAGAGATATCAGGGTGCTGTTCTGCTTAACTTCCCCCGGTCAAAAGCTCCTCAGTGTGGCTATCCAGGCCGGCAAATCAGTCTGTGCCGGCTGTTTACTGTGCCGATCACAAGGGCCACCGGAGCTGGAACAAAGGGGGGTCTGTTCCTATTGTCCTTCCCCGGAATGACAGCTCTCTGTTGGGCCGAGAGGGGGACCGGGGGGCCCTGGCTCCCACATACAGGGATGGAGGACAGTTTTAACTGACGTCCCTTCCTTTTTTAAGTCCCCAATCAGACGCTGCCTCAATGTAAACACCTGCAGCCATTCACTGATTCCATCTAAAGGAACCGGAAAGCGCTGTTGACATGGTTCAGGCTACGTCCAATAGGTTTTTAAAACTGATTGAGGTGCAAACGGATATTGAGCGCAAGAAAACACAATGCAGATGGACGAACCACATTTATTTTCATTGCGAATCAAAGGACTGAAAGTATTCCTAAATACTGAACACAATAAGGAGCGTAAAGCAAAGAGCGACTTCCTCTCCATCCATCTTCCCGAAAGCTAAATCGAAGCAGCTGTTGTTTCACATCTGGGACCGCCCTGTTCCCCTGGCGCTGAATCCACTTTAATGAGTGTACCTGACACCTGTGCTCAAGGCAAAGCTGGTTATGAAAACAACAGGCCTATCTCTTCAACTGTACACTTGTACACATGGCTCGAAAGGTTAATGTGGCCGGGTGACAGAATAAAAGTGCAGGTGAGCTTCGGAAGTGTCGCATGAAAACGAGTGTTTAAGAGGTGCTGGGCCATAAGGGGCATGTGGGGTTGGCCTCACACAACAGCTGTCCACCATCTGAGCTGTCCATACATCAGCGATTATGAGCATTTCTACTGTATAAATCATGAAGCAGCTCTGTAGCAGCACCTTTATTGTTTCTCTTTATGAGATTAAATGGAAACGTTTGCTTAGCCGTCTTCATACTTAGCAGGTTCGGACTCTGGTGCGATTGCTCTGTTGATGCGGTTCATTTGATTAAATATGAACACGACATGGACCAAAGACAAACAAACCAAATAGAGGACACGATGTCACAAGATGCGACCTTGAAAAGGACAGAATACTCAACCTGATTTTTCTTAGTTGCAATCTTTCCCATCACAGTTTGGTACAGTCGTCGTTTGTGCGAGTTATCAAAGTCCTTTTGGGCAAGTCCTGCCACTCCGGGACGAATTTCGCGCGCGCTATTCGCAGACGTTTAACGCCTTGTAACTAAACAAAGGGCGCCAATGTGAGTGCGCACACCAACACGTAAAACGTCACACGCAAAAGCATATTTAAAAAAAAAAAAAACACCTCGGGTTCGTTTTTTTAGTTTGACGCGTCGCGGCAAAAACTACCTGACCAATGAGATTGATGCTTTTGCTCACGTGTTTGGAGCTTCTAAAGTTACAGTAAAACACAAATTGGGGGCGCTCAAACACAAAACGGTCTTGCCGAGCACACATATGGAACGGAGAAGAAGATATACGCCAAGTAGCGTCGCCGTCTACACAGCCAGGAAGAAATAAGCCGGAGGGGCGGGGCATGTGCATATAACCGCCGTTATGGGTTTTCCCTATATAGTTGTATTGAGGATTGAGGAAATGGCATGTCTCTATATAAATAGTCTCTGTTGTGATGGAGGGATTTGACTCCTTTACACAATGTATAGGCTCTTCAAGAGTTGTCAGCTCCATAATTTACCATCATATGTAGGCTACACACAATTATCTGCTAAAAAAGGACAGTGTTGAACTAAAATGTATTATTTTCTTTTTTGATCCAAACTTCAAGTGTGAACACACCCTTAGAAGCGATCTCAACAATGTCTCAAATGTGCTCTGATTTGTCAAACAAAGGTGAGCCACATCTGAATCCTTTACGAAAGGCCCTTCAAAGACCATTGGTGAAGTGTATGTTTTAGGAATTGAAATAAAAAAGTATTTTGACAAATAACGTGGGTGATGTTTTGATTCATTATTTGAGTTAATTAGTTAAGGATGTAACCTTGGATTTGTAACCTGTTTAAAACCAACTATATATACACTAAAGATGTGATGAAACAGAAGTGACACACATCCAACTCCAAGTGTAATGAATTATTGATAAAGAAAAAAAAGTAGGTGCTGTGCATTGGTTGATGATTTGATGTTGAGATGCGTGTTTTGCAAGTGAATGCGAGCTTGCAGGCATGGGTTTAAGTGGACTAAATGATTGGAAAAGTTCTAACACACACCACCAGATAGGCCTTCCATTTTCACCAGAAGGTCCAGGTATGACATTTTTATTAAACAAGGTTTGATGAGGTAAAAGAAAAAAAAAAATTTGAAAAAATTATGCACAGATGGTTATTCACAATAAGATCCAACGTGAATTTAGAAAATGGACAATTTGAACGACTTTGCACAACATTTTCCACCAAAAATAGAAAAACATGAAAACAGTTTTTAAATGGAACTGTTTGAAATCGAATTAACACTAAATGTTTTGATATAAATCACAGACAGGCATCTGAGGACTATTTCTCATTTATCTCAGTTATTTTACTTCATTTCCAGATCAATCGTCGTTCTTACGAGCACGTTCGCATATGCGCACTCTTCAAAAAACGACGCTTAAAATCTCTTGACAAACAAGACGTCGTATATAGGCTAAATGACATTTGTATGCTTTGTAAATAAAATATGATTGAACTGAATGTCAGCTTGCTTATTATGCTAAAGATAATGCTTTATTGAGCCCACTTGTCATGTAAACTAGATAGCTCCCCAGATAGCAAAAAATATCCGCACGGCTTCTTTTTGCCGCCGGCCTGACGCTGTCGGCTATAGGTGCGTCCCGCTGGCGGCGATGAAACGTTTGCCGCCGAATACGTCACTGACGGTCACTCCCTTTTTTTGCGAGATGCGAGACACCCCTCGCTGCAGAGGACCTCTTGCGAGATGCCGCCGGCGAATAGCTGGCGGGCCGCCTGCTTCATTTTCACTGGCGGTTGCCTCCGTCTCATGGACCGCGGCCGGCTGGCGGCAAACCGCTTTGAAATACAAGGATTTCAACACTCAAAATCGACCAGCCATGGCTTACTATTTGCTCCATGGGTTTAGGCTATAACAGATTCTTGAATCTTGATTCCATTATAAGGTCTAGGAAATTACGTTTAAATTAAATAGGCTATGTAAAATACATGTAATTATTTTATGCAGGTAAAAAATATTTACATTTCTTTGATTGATGCACATTTGAGACACCAATTAACCAAAAATAATTTGTCAATAAAACTTATTTGGCAATAAATATCTTTCTGATTAGGTTTTACAAAATATATTTAATTCGTGGTCTGAACAATTTAGAAGATATTTTTATTATTATTTTATTATTTATTTTATAGGCAATTAAAAATAGAATCATTTAGATTGTGAATGTTAATTCACTATTTTGTGCATAGAAAATCTATAGCTAAAACAAATGTGTTCTAGCTATAATTTTGCTATTCACAAAATAGTGAATTAACATTCACAATCTAAATGTTTTTTTACAAGACTGAACTGTGAAGTACTGAATTGACAGTTTTGCTGTGTTCATGTTTTTTTTTTTTTTTTTGGGTAAACAGGGGCTCGATTACACACTGAAGCCACTGAGCCCCTAACAATATGACAATCAGTTTGCCGCAGTAAGAACCTTTCTTTTACGATCTATGGTTAGAACACAGCATGAAGTTACAAACTCGTGTACAGTAGGTGGCGGTATGCACCTAAAAGTTGGTTGCAATCCGACAATAATCAAGAGAAGAAGAAGATTGCCGAAGTGGAAGTTACTCAGCCCGAAGTTTGCTTGCTAGCAAAGTCATCGACTACCGTCGTATAAGTAAGTATATGTTTCCTTTTTTTGTAACGCAATATTATGTTTACATTGGTTTTATTTTATGTTTTTAAAATATGTTAACTTAGTCATCCTTGTTCTTGCAGTACGCTGCTAGTCCTGTTGTTAGAGTGGCTAACGTTAGCAGCTAACACATGCTGTTTTGCCTTTGTTAGGACACGTTGCTGGTAACGTTACATGTAGAAATGTAATTAGCTACTTACAGTAGTTAGCCAAAGCTTTACATCTAGATGGACTAAGTATAACTTGTATATAGGTTGTGTAAATTATTTTGTTTGTCCGAACTAGTATTTTGCTAGTTGAGTTCACAATGTAGCTAGCATGCTATAGTGGTTAATATTGGTTCTCTTTCATCACTGCAGCAAGCTTTATGGAAAAGAACATGTGACATACAACATGCCTGGATTGGTTTGGTGCACCTCCTCAGACAAGATGCCAAAAAGTATGGTGTCCTTGATAACATATCATGCTTCCCATTTGAAAACTTCCTTGGCATGGGTGTCTTAATAAACAATAGAGAGTCATCGCTCAGTTATTGGCCCTTGGACTCCCCCGGCACCTCTTGTACAGCATGAAGTTTTCTGCTATGAAGGTATAGTCTAGGCATATGTCTTAGTGTCCATCGTTTTAACAGTATTGAAAACAGTGCCTTTAGTTGTATTTAATTTTTTTTTTTTTTTTTTTTTTTTTGCAGATTTACAGAGACTCCAGAATGAAAAACAAACCCTAAGGGAAAGCAATGCACCAGCAGGTGAGAATATGCACTCTTTCTTAAATTTAACTTTTTTGTGTGTGATATAGGTCCAAAATTACCATATGCCTTTCATTTTGAGGCGTCAGATGACAGCGGCTCACTTCAAGAGCAGGTGAAGCAAAATGGGATAATGTTGATCAGGTCCTGATCAGGTCGAGAGATGTCGTTCAGACCACACAACTTTGGGATTTTGTTTGCGAATGTTTGTTAGAAGGATGGTTTCCGGAAACACCGACTCATTGAACTATGCTGATAATGGCGGAACTTGCGAAAATTGTCTAATTGCTTTTAGGAAACACACGCTGCATATTCAGTAGCCTACCGCTTATAAATGTGGCAAGGGGGTGTACATGTATACTTGCAAGCTATTTTAAGGTAAGGTATTTCAAGGAAAAAAAAACGTTTATATAATGCAATTTCTGTGATCAAAGATGAGTTTTAAAGGAGAAAATGATTGACGAGGACTTTAAGAGTTGACGTCATTCAAATAAAAATTTTAATCTCCACAAATCCAGGGTTTTATGAATAAAGGTGTTCCCATCTCTGATCAAACTATCAAAGGCATGTGCATACTAGCAGCTGTGTATAGGCGTGCAAATTATTCAGTAACAAGGAATTTCAGTCTTTGAAGGTCATCTTACCTGTTTAAAGGGTTTTTGTGATAGAGCTTCATAAATCAGCAAGAATGGGATTACTAATAAAACGACTATTTCAATAATGTTCTTCGCCAAAGTTTTGTCGACGCACTGAATAATGCCCACCGATCCCAACCAAAAATACCACATTTAGTTATAGTTCGAAACATGGGTCACCAAACCACCTCACAGTCAATGTTTTAATCAATGTTCACTCCTTATTTTTGAGATGTTCTGATTGCAATCTATACCCTAAGGTAAGATCTCCAGCTAAAAGCATTATAATTCACTCTCCTTGACATGTTACTGCAACATCTTTACGCAGCGAGACGCGCGCGTCAGGGCAACGTGTCGCCGCAGGTGCATTTCTGAAAACGGGCATCCATAGAGCGCGTAAGCGGGCTCCACCATGCATCATTAGACAAGCATCTACGGAGATAACCCTGCCGTTATCAGTCGCCTGCGTCCTCATACCTCCCACTCTCCGTTTTGCAAGCGGAGTTTACGCGTCTCCGCTTCGCTCCTCCTCCAGTTTGCCATCTGCACTGAATCCGCATCGCGCTCCGTGCATCCGCAGGTTGAAGAAACGCAACAGGTTATACGCGCGTTAATGAATCCGAGAGCGTTCACGAGAGGGCGAGATGTGGGAACAAAATAACTGATTAAACCAGCGATAGCGTTTCACTCATCACCTATTTGGATTGGCTCGTTTATTTGTGTGAAACTCTGCGCGAAAAGTTCATCATGGTTTCATTGCTGGATTTAAGCGCTCTTGTTCTGTTGCTCGTGTGGGGATATTGCGTCCTGGCGGACACGGTCTTTACAAACTTTACCCTGGACAACGAGGTGCACTCTAGTTTCATCCACCGGCGCTTGAAGAGCCAGGAGCGCCGGGAGATGCAGCGGGAGATCCTGTCAATCCTCGGGTTGCCGCACCGGCCGCGGCCGCACCTCCACGGCAAGCACAACGCCGCGCCGATGTTCATGCTGGATCTGTACAATGCCATGTCCACTGAAGGAGACGAGGAGGGCTTCTCGTACCCTTACAAGCCCGTTTTCACCACACAGGGACCGCCAATCGCGACACTTCAGGACAACAACTTTCTGAACGACGCGGACATGGTCATGAGTTTTGTTAATCTAGGTAAGATTGGCACGCGCGCATTGACAGTCCTGGGATGCCAAATGCCATATTTTAACCTTCTTTATAGATTGTCCTAGGAAACTGCACCCACCTGTGATTCTCCCACTAAAACCATTTAAAATGTGTCAATAGGCTACTTGTTTACTGTGCAAATTGTGTACAAACTCTTATTGGGTCATAATGTGTATTGATAATAGGCTAATTGATTACTGAAGTTTCATCATTTGAGAAAAAGAAACACTAATGGACTTAGACAAAAAAAAGGTGTCCATTTAATGAACTTTATTAAGGCGCTCTGTAATACTTGATTCTGATTGGTCAAATATTTTTTGTTTTTAAACCGGATAGTTACAGTCTTTGCTTCTGGTTGGTCGGAATGGGCTTGCAGCTGTGTTATTTTCCACAATATGGAACAGCTATGACACGAAACACCTGTTCACCAATCACAGCATTCTCTTGTCGGGGACTATATCTTCTAGCGGATGGAGGTCGCTTCACGAGCTTACTAAAATTGTCAGACCACAATATTTATGTAGGAATCGTTTGCTTAAAATCCATAAGGGACTTAAAGGATCCCATAGTGTACTCACCCTCAAGCCACCCTAGGCGTGTATGACTTTATTCTTTCAGTCAAAAACAATTGGAGTTATATAAAAAAAATATCCTGGCTCTTCCAAGCTTTATGGTACCTTAGATTTTAAAGCCCCAAAAAGGCTACCATAAAGTAATCCATACGGCTCCAGTGGGTTAATAAAGAGCTTCTGAAGTACAGCAATGGGTTTTTGTATGAAAAATATCCACATTTATAACTTTATAAACTATAATCACTGGCTTCCGGTAACGGCCGTACGCGAGTCGAGTTCTGGCTGAAAAGTGTTTTAGTCAAATATCCCTAGGATTGCTTGAGGGTGAGTAAACGATGGCATAATTTTCATTCATGTGTGAACGATCCCTTTAAGAACACGCTAAGGACTTAAAGCGATAGTTCACTTTGAAATTAATTTGTGATATGTTTTTGCTTGCCTCAAGTGCATCCAAGATGTAGGTGTCTTTGTTTCCACAGTATTTTCAATTTTGATATTTTTAGGTCAAACCGTTCATGTCTGTCAGTCATATAATGGAGGTCTATGGGGTCCACCTCAACGTGCACGCACAGAGAAGTCCAAATAAAACATGATTTGACTCGTAAATGTAAGTACACATTAATGGCTTAAGACACGAAACGAGAGGTTTGTGTGAGAAAACGAACAGTATTTATATCGTTTTTACATCTTGTAACCACAGCCACAAAACGCCCGTGCCCTCAGATCACTTGGACGTGGCTGTGGTTACAAGAGGTAAAAACGGTAACACTTTACAATAAGGTTCATTAGTTAACATTAGTAAATGCATTAACTAACATGAACTAACGATGAGCAATGCATTAGTTACAGTGTTTATTAATCTTTGTTAATGTTAGTTAATACAAATACAGCTGTTCATTGTGCGTTCATGTTAGTTCACAGTCCATTAACTAATGTTAACTAATACAACCTTTGATTTTAATAACGTATTAGTAAATGTTGGAATTAATATTAACTAAGATTAATAAATGCTGAAGAAGTATTGTTAACATAATGTACATGTTAACTAATGTAGTTAACTAATGAACCTTATTGTAAAGTGTTACCATAAAAACGATATAAATACTGCTCGTTTTCTCACACAAACCACTCGTTTGGTGTCTAGGCCATCAATGTGTACTTACATTTACGAGTCATTGAATCATGTGTAATTTGGACTTCTCTGTGCATGCTCTTTGAGGTGGTGACCATAGACCTCCATTATATGACTGATAGACACAAACGGTTTGACCTAAAAATATCAAAATTGAAACTACTGCAGAAACAGACATCTACATCTTGGATGCCCTTGAGGTAAACTAAAACATACCAAAAATTATTTCAAAGTGACCTGTCCTTTTAAGATGGAAAAAAGTGAAAGTGTATTAGGAGAGAATCACATCCAGGGCCGTTTAGCCCCGTTGCACCCTATTATTGAGGCACCACATTTTGGGGTCAAACCTGATAGTTTTACAAGAAACAATATAAAGCTGCATTACTTTGAAAAATGTTTTGTTCAGATGTTTTTGACAAAGAACTTGTCACAAAGTCTGGTTCCAATAGCGCAACCGATTTTGCAAGACAAAGAGCATCTTAATGAAATTGCAGAGCTTAAATGTGAATACATCTGATAGTCAAACGATAGCACAAAACATGCATTAAAACATTTACACCGATTGATCCTCTGTCTCTTCATGTTTTTGGCATTGACAGGAAAGACCTGCCACAGAAATCAGATAATAACAGGGCAGAGTGAATAATAACAGGCCAAAGAATGGGGATTTTCCCCCCTGAGAGTCTTAGATATTTGATTTGTTCCTAGGCCAAAATAGCTTGCATAGTTCTCTCCTCCATTGTTTGTTTGATTTTATTAGGCCACTTATCTGCGGAAAGTCTTAACCTTGGCCTGATTTCCAAGCCCCTGATGCCGGTGAACGCAAACCTATATTTGCATTGTGTGTTTTGGGCTCTGATAATAAAGCGCTGTCGCATTCCCAAGCGTCTGCTGTCTCAGCGCCAGCTGTGTCCTCCGCTAATATTCAGGTGTTCAGGGTTGGCTGTCTGGGAGCTCAACAGTCTCTTTATCTTCAGTTTTTTTTTTTCTCTGCAGTAATGATATCAGCTGACAGAGGCACAAGTGTTTTCCTTAGTGCAAAGTACGACTCATGACTCGTTTGCTCAACAGAGAGCGAGCCTATAGGGCCGCTCACACATATTCTTTCATACAAATGCAAAAAAAAGAGAGAAATTCTCATGGTTTTCGCCAATAACATTTATTGTTGCTACTGTTAAACTATGATCGTGTTCAGAATATTTTCACTTTGATTAATGTCTGTTTGGTAGCTAGTTCCACTGTTTTATTATAAAAAACAATGACTTGTATTTTTGGTAACACATGAACAGTCCCAGGTCTGCATTCAAGTAGTTTTTAGTCATCCACCTTTGCCTCCACGTAAAGTGTAATCTTTGACACTGCCTAACTTGGCTTGCCTGAATGTTTCATAAGAACCTTGTCTTATCAGCGAGCCTGTTAGTTTCCTCATTAAAGCGTCATCATCTGCACACTAGCACAACACTGCCATGCAAAGTGTGGTTTATTGTCTGATAAGAGCAGTTATGTTGTTGAGGGTGTGATTTGTATCGCTGTTTATTGGCAAAATGGATGTGATATAATAGTTTAGTGGTGATCTGAATTCTTCTTAGTCACTATGAAATCAAAATTCACATTTTTTTAAAATGGAAAATGACAGATTAGTTCATTTTTCAAAAAACTCTTGCTGATAGTTTACTCACCCCCGTGTCATCCAAGATATCCATGTCATTCTTTCTTCAGTCGAAAAGAAATTAAGGTTTTTGATGAAAATATTCCAGGATTTTCTCCATATAATGCACTTCAATGGGAACCAAACAGTTCACGGTCCAAAAGACAAGCCTTGCTCCGTACTGCGATGCGCGTTCGTGACTCTACTGTTCGAACTCGTTCATCAAAATGAACAAATCTTTTTCCGAGTCATTTGGTTCATTCAACGAACAAAACGAACAAATTGATTCAGAAAAAGATTTGTTCATTTTGATGAATGAGTTCAAACAGGAGACATCTTGGATGACATGGGGGTGAGTAAATTATCAGCAAAAGTTTTTTCAAAAGTGAACTACTCCTTTAACTATAAATGATTTATCCGTGCACATCATTTTTATTTATTTATTCACGTGCCCTTGTAGTCTTTAAAGGTGCCATCTGTAAAAATTGAGGTTAAAATATCCCAAAAATGAGCAACACGCATCAAAAGATTGAGAAGAAATAAGGTTGATGATGTCATTAAAAAACTGACAAGTAATAGTGCTGCCGAGATATTAACCTGAATTAGCATGCTAAATTACTAGCCCCGGCCCGGCAGGTGTCGTAATACCAGTTTCGACCATGGGAGGCGGTATGCGGGCGGGCAACGTTAGCACCAGCCAAACTGCAGTACACGAGTAAGTCGCGCTCGCGCCAGCTTGTGTGTACTTGAACCTGACGTCAGTCGTGTGGAAAATACAGCCCACTACTACATTTCAGTTCAGGGAAGAGTTAAAAAAAAATGATTGGTCGATATTATGCATGAGGAATACATTTTGGTAAGTTGTAGCATACTGTATCTTTCAACAGTGTTCGTGTTCTTTTACCATTAGCTAGTAGAGATGATCGGTTCACGTGCGCTAGGGATCTGTCGTGTAAAGCGCCAATACTGTATTTATTGTTTGAATTGCGTAATAAAATGAACAGAATCTGAGAGCTGACATCGGTCTCCGTGTCCTTTTCTGTGCATGACAAAAATGTGTGGCGTGAAAGTGTGTGAAAAGTGTTGTGAGAGTTGGCAGCTCTGAAAGACGCTAGCTTGGTCCACATCAGGGAATTGCTGTCTGTCAAATTAATTCAAACTAATGATAAAAATGTAATATGAACAAATCGAACATCATAAAACTAGAAATAATAGCCTGGGCTTTAATTTTCCCATATCGTCGAAATGCACCGGCTTGTCTATGAGACGGCCCTTATAATTTAGTATTGAGATGTTGTTCATTAAGTCTCTAATCTCTGAAAATCTCCAAATGCTCCACGTGAAACTGCGGTCTTCCAACCTTTTACTATCGCGTCAATTGATTTGATGAATATGCACGAGGGAGACAGAGCAACACAGCACTCGCCCATATTGTTTGAAGACATGAGAGAGCGCGTGGCCGTGGAGGTATTTCTGGAGGTATACTGCCCCCATCTGGTATGGTACATGTTGTATGATTTGATTTTAAATCCCATTTGGCACCTTTAATCAAAATAACCTCTAGAAGCTACATCTCTTCTCTGATGATGCGTTTAGTGATGGCATGAGGGCGGGGCAACCAGTCACTCACAGGAGA